GGTCTACGCCAGCGCTTCGAGCGTTTCCTAGAGCAGAAGAACGTAGCCACCGAAGCGCTCGGGGCTCTCGAAGCCAGGACCGGTGTAGAGAAGCGGTATCTAGCCGCGGGTAAGCCTGGAGAGGGGTGCATGTCGCGGGTCCCCGACGGGCACCACGAGGTCCTCTGTTTCGACCCTGGAAAGGGTGCATGGCCCAAGTGCCGGATGGGCACCTTGAAGCCTTGGGTGCCCTCACCCTGGGAGAGGTTATGGGAGGCTCTGGAAACTCAGGACTAGGTGCGGTATCCCTGGTCCCTGTTTAGGCATTGTGAGGTCCTGGGGACTCTGACCTGGAAAGAATGTATATCTCAGGTCCCTGATGGACCTGGTGAAAGGTCTCGTGAGATTCTAGGCACCTAGGCATGGCTTTAGGATCTCATCCTTTCTGGGAAGTGTCTCCAATGGAAACCAAGATGTCATGCGTCCTCATCCATGGAAAGGGGACCATGTTTGGTTCCCTATAGACCCTGACATTATCTGGGGATCTGACCTGCCTGTGGCGTCTTACTTTATATTCTGGAGAAGAGGGACTTTAATTTGCCTGCCTCTCTTCCAAAGTCTTTGGAAAAGGCCAACCTAGTGTCCCAAAGCACTCTCAGGTGCAGCCTGCCTCCTCCTGGGGCCCTGGCTACAGGTCAGGCCCCAAGCCCCTGCAAGTCTGGTTTTTCCAGTGGCCAAGCTGGCCCCTATGTGGGTGGAGAAACAAGGGACATCCCCCAGTTAATCCCCTTCGTGTTCTCAACTCCTTCTAGAATGTTCTCATGGAGAAATGACCCCATGTATTTCTCTAACATGAATACTGACCCTACACTGGGCCTCTCTTCCTCTTAGACCCAACACAATAGCTTTGAGTCAATATTTGTTGATCTCAGGTGTCAGCTAGGGTTTGGGGGGTGGGGAGCCTGGGGGAGGTAACACCCAAGCATCCCAATTGTAGGTCCATCCAAGTTCCAGGTTCTGTCTGCAAGTGTGGTAAGGGTCCCTGTGTGTCTTTCCAAAATGATTTTCGTGTGCCCCCTTTTTGTGTCTTCAGAAGCCCACAGCCTTGGCCTGAAGTTCCTTCCTGAATCACAGGACAGTGGGGGTTCTGTGTGAAGGACTAGTGTCACAGTTCATGAAGCCCCTTCTCCAGACAGATCCTAAGAGTTCTTTACTCTCACTTTCTTGTCAGCTGGAGGATGGGCTCCCAGACCCCAGGGTGTGTGTGTGTGTGTGTGTGTGTGTGTGTGTGTGTGTGTGTGTGTGTGTGTAGGGGTGATGGGGTGATGCTGATATCTGTGCCCAGATCCCAGAATGTCCCTCTCTTTGGGATGAATCAGCACTCGAGACAGTCCATTGTCCCGCTGTTCGGGCCCCAGGTACAGGCTGCAATCTCTGTTCTGGCTTTCCACATCACTAGGGAAATTGCATCATAGTACCCTGGGAGGGGATGGCCAGGAGAACAGCATGGATGTCACTAGGAAGGAAACTGAGACACAAGAGTCAGGGATATGTTGGAAAACTGCCCATCATCTCCACCTCCGGCCCCCTCTGTCACAGTGTCCACACTTATCTTCTTCCTGCTGAGGTTGCAGTTAAAGAGATTGAGGGCACTAGTACACTGGGACAGCCCTTCCCCCATCAATGCCAGAGACAGGGTGACATCCCTCACCTGCTTCAGGACCCTTAACAGAGACAGATTCTTAGGTTTCAGCTGCTCCAAAAGTCACCCTGTGTGTCCCCAGGCACTAAATGTGGCAGGCAGCTTAGACTCAAGGCAGTGACAGGAAGGTCACCCTACCCAGCTGGGGCCCCTCCTCTTCAGGTCCAGGAGGGTTAGACCCAGAACAGGTGGAAGGAGGGGCAGGGACTCTGACCTTAGACACAGAAGCCTGTGTCCCAGCAGATAGCAGTCTGGGGGAGGAAGCAGGAGACATCTCAGTCCTGGCTTCCCCAGGGCAAAGGTCCCCTCTGGTAGATAAGCCACTCCCACCTCCCCAGCTCAGTCCCTGACCTTCACTGGAGCAGATAAAGCCGCAGGTCCCCCAACCACTTCCCACATGTCCAAAGCTCTCTGGTGAGCCTTTCTAGCATCAAGTTTACAGTGGCAGCCAAGTCCCAGGCTTTTCATTGCTAAGAATGTCTCAGTGGGCAAAAGGCCATTCCCTAGAGTGTGCTGAGAGAGAGTGAGTAAACCACCTACACGTGGATAGCCCAGCCTTGGGCAGAGATCTGATCAGGTGAAACTGTAGAACAAAGAATAGCTGCCTTGTTTGTTTGGGGGGTTTCCAGCATGGGGGAGGGGAGTGTTTTTTCCTTCAAGTTGTTTGAGCAATCTTGTCCCTGATTGATAACTTGGCAAGTGTCTTTACCTGTTGAACCCTCTGGCTGGCTACTCTCCTCTTTCTCTGGAGATGGTATTTCACTGAACTTGTAGCTCATCACTTCAGTTACACTGACTGTCCAATGAGGTCCAACGATCCATTTGTGTCTGTCACCATCTTCCAAGTGCTGGAGTAGCAGGCACCCTGCAGCAAGCCCATTGTTGTTTGGTTTGTTCGGTATTTACTGAGCATTCAAACTCAAGTCATTATGCTGCAATGAGCATTTTATCCACTGTGTCACCTTCCAACCCTTTTTAGGTAGTGGGTTTTGAGACATGGCCTCACACAGTCCAGGCTGGCATTGAACTCACTACATAGCCAAGAACCGTCTGGTGTACTCTGTCATCCCAGCACTCCAGAGGCCAAGATAGGAGGAGCTAGAGTCCAAGGCCAGCCTGGGCTACAAAGCAAGACGCAATCTGAAAAAAGCAAAAACATTAGCCAACACAGCAGAACCTGCATTTAATCCCAGCACGCAGAAGCCTAAAGCAGGCAGCTCTCCATGAGTTTGAGGCCAGCTAGGACTGCATTGTGAGACCCTATCTCGAAGAAGAACAAAAATAACTTTTTGTTTTGTTTTCAAGACAGGGTTTCTCTGTGGCTTTGGAGGCTGCCCTGGAACTCGCTCTTGTAGACCAGGCTGGTCTTGAACTCACAGAGATCCACCTGCTTCTGCCTCCCGAGTGCTGGGATTAAAGGCATGTGCCACTAACACCAGGCCTGAAAAAAGAACCCTTGGCCCAAAAATGAATCCCATCCCAGAGCTGAATGAGGTCCTTGCCTGCTCTGAGGCACTTCCACCCCATGAGGGACATACAACAGACATGAGATCGAGGGTTCACCAGGAAGGAGGTGCAGGTTGCAGACTGCATTGGAGGGTTGCATGCTGCTCTTGTCTTTACAGGAGCCCTCGCCCTTCTAAGCCTGTATCTTCTGTTCGGCTACGGGGCCGCTCTACTGTGCAATGTCATCGGATTTGTATACCCCGCATATGCTTCGTGAGTGAGCAGGCAGTCCACAGGGGTGGGGAGGCTTCTGGGAGTCCCAGGGACCACCAAAGAAGATATGTGTCTTCCCATCTGGACAGAGTCAAAGCCATCGAGAGTCCAAACAAGGAAGACGACACTGTGTGGCTAACCTACTGGGTGGTGTACGCTCTGTTCGGCCTAGTCGAGTTCTTCAGCGATCTACTCCTGTTCTGGTTCCCTTTCTACTACGCGGGCAAGGTGAGCAGGCCATCTTCCCCATTGGGGAAGGGCAAAGAATTGGATCAGGGCCCTGTGTGACAGTGTGGTGTGTCCCCATGTGTGATGCAGGGCCCTGTGTGACAGTGTGGTGTGTTCCCATATGGGAGAAGGCCCTGTGTGAGGATGTGTGTCCCATGTGTGGGGCAGGGCCCTGTGTGAGGTGTAGTGTGTCCCATGTGTGGGGCAGGGTCCTGTGTGAGGTGTGGTGTGTCCCCATGTGTGGGGCAGGGTCCTGTGTGAGGTGTGGTGTGTCCCATGTGTGGGGCAGGGCCCTGTGTGAGGTGTGGGGCAGGGCCCTGTGTGACAGTGTGGTGTGTCCCATGTGTGGGACAGGGCCCTGTGTGACAGTATGGTGTGTCCCATGTGTGGGGCAGGGTCCTGTGTGAGGTGTGGTGTGTCCCCATGTGTGGGGCAGGGCCCTGTGTGCCAGTGTGATGTGTCCCATGTGTGGGGCAGGGCCCTGTGTGACAGTGTGATGTGTCCCCATGTGTGGGGCAGGGCCCTGTGTGCCAGTGTGATGTGTCCCATGTGTGGGGCAGGGCCCTGTGTGACAGTGTGATGTGTCCCCATGTGTGGGGCAGGGCCCTGTGTGCCAGTGTGATGTGTCCCATGTGTGGGGCAGGGCCCTGTGTGACAGTGTGATGTGTCCCCATGTGTGGGGCAGGGCCCTGTGTGCCAGTGTGATGTGTCCCATGTGTGGGGCAGGGCCCTGTGTGACAGTGTGATGTGTCCCCATGTGTGGGGCAGGGCCCTGTGTGACAGTGTGGTGTGTCCCCATGTGTGGGGCAGGGCCCTGTGTGAGGTGTGGTGTGTCCCCATGTGTTGGGCAGGGCCCTGTGTGAGGTGTGGTGTGTCCCCATGTGTGGGGCAGGGCCCTGTGTGACAGTGTGATGTGTCCCCATGTGTGGGGCACGGCCCTGTGTGATGGCATGGTGTGTCCCCATACAGTGCGCCTTCCTGTTATTCTGCATGAGCCCGGGACCATGGAACGGGGCTCTAATACTGTACCATCGCGTCATACGACCACTGTTTCTAAAACACCACGTGGCCCTCGACAACGCAGTGAGCCAGCTAAGCGGAAGAGCATTGGACATAGCAGCGGGAATAACCCGGGACGGTGCGTACTAGGGGTGAATGCCCAGTGGGTGTGATCTGGATTCTGGGGGGTGTGTTTGTTTTCTCTTTGGGTAGTTTTTTGTTTGTTTTTTGAGACAGAATCTTACTATGTATACCAGGCTCGCCTGGAACTTTCAGAGATCTGCCTATCTACACCTCACAACAGTTAGGATTAAAGGTGTGTGCCATCACACATGGCTTGTTCAGTTATTTTGAGACAAAAAGAATTTCATGTATCCCAGGCTAGCCTCCAACTCACTAAGTAGCTGAGGGTCACCTTGCCTTCCTTAGTGCTGGGATGACAGGCCTGACAATGTCACCCCGCCCCAGCTGGCTCCTGGGTCTCAACTGACCCTGTCTCTGTTGTCTGTCCCCCTGCCTGGATTTGCCTGTCTGTCCATCCGCCTGCCCTGAAACACCTGACTCTTGCTACACTCCCCTGCATAGCTCTGCTATTCTCTTACTGTCCGCCTCTCTCTCTCTGGCTGTCGGGAACCAGTCCTGCAGGCCCTAGCCCGGGGCCGAGCTCTCATCACCCCAGCATCAGCAACGGAGCCCCCAACCACTCTGGAACTGAACCGTATGTAATGCCCAGGAGGGACTATGCAGGGGTTGTGTGCATTCTGTGTTTATGTTGTGTGTGGTTCTGCATCTGTGTGCGTATGTATGGTGCATACTGCAGGTATCCCTGGACAAGTGTGTGCATGCACCCACAGGGGCAGAGCGTGCTGGGTGTGTGTTCAGATGTCTGCATGGGTGACCAGCTTGCCTCTGCAACTGAGCTGGTGGCACATTCCCTCCCGCTCCCCGGCCAGTCGCGTCCACCCTCACATACCATGCCTTTCCGCTCCACAGCCAAGTCAAGCCAGACCCCGCTCCTGAAACACAATTGAAGTCTCCTGCCAGTTTGTGCTTGGAGCCTGTGCCCAGTGACAAGGAGGAGGGACACACAGCTGACGCCCAGGTCTCCTTGGACTCCTCCTCCTCGGACTCCCAGACAGAGATCCAAAACCAACGCCGAACTTCAAGCCCAACCAAGATAGTAGGAA